AATGCTCCAAGCTCTGTTTGGAGCTAAAAAACTCAGGAATTTTCTATTCAGAATAATTTAATAAATATTTTAATAAGCTTTTTCAGAATGGCAAAGAAGGAACAGGAATGAGAGGAAGAAATTCCTAACACTGCAAAATGACTGTGTGGAAAAATGTGTAAAACTAAGTGTTTTATGTGTGGTTGAGTGTTTATGTCACATTTAGTCCTCTAGGAAACCCACTAAGTGTATCGAAGGCTTTGAAAATGAAACCAAAATGAGCAGATTGGTGAATTTTAAATAGCTTTAGTAGTGCAATGACTTCTCGAGTTATAGTGGCTGCAGTTGGAAACATGAACAAAGGATTGTATAAAACACCAGCATAAACAAAAGGTAAATTAGAATTAAATAGGCTGAAAAGTCTAGCTGAGCATTACATACTTGATTATGGAATGTCAGGTCTCTTCTACTATCACCAAAAATAAAGGTAAGATAAAAAACAAAGCAATGTTCCTGAAGGTACACACAGTGCTGGATTTCACACACGAGCCTGAGACAATTCATTTAGGACCTTTCCTAGAAAGGGTTGGAAGTGATTTCCAACTTGCAAACAAAACCAAAACCAGCATCAAAATCCAATTGAAAATAGGACTCTAGTTGCAAAGACTCTACCTCAGTCTGGAACCGTCTTGAGAGAGTGTCTGAGCTAAGGCTGAAACTTTGGGCTTCTGGTCACAAACCAGAGGGGAAAGGTAACAGCAACCCCTGCCTCAGCCACTCAGCACTTAATTAACACAGGGCTTAATTAACTAACCTCACTGAGAGCCTCTCCAGGTCCAGGGCTGGCAGAGTCCTGGCAGGTGTCACTCCTGCCACCAGGCAGAATGGATCATTTCTCACACTTTCGGGAGCAGCAGGTTCTTATGTCCATAACTCATCCAGGCTGGAGCTGGAGGATTTGGCTTCTTAACAACCATCAAGTCCAAGTACAGGTTGTTGAAGGAGAAAACAACCCAACCCAAGCCCTCAGCAGGTGGGTTTGGGTTGGTACATGAAGTTCAAGCCATAGGACCAGTCACTTAAACCGTAAAGACAAAGTTAAAATAACCACTTATAAAGTAACAGCAAACCTGTAAGGAGGAGGACACAGAGTTACAAATCATACAGATGAACAGTTTTCACTGTTTTCAATAGAGCAGACATAGAGCTGTGGCTTAAAAACCAAACCCAAACAAAACCAGAAAGAATTGGCATTAAAAATGTTTCTAATTCATGGATGTAATTCCTACTTTGAGCCTCAAACTGTGCTGGTGGGAGGGCAAGCATCAACCCCTCCACACTTCCTTATAAGCAATTTTTGCTTCTCGTACTGGAATCTTAAATTAATTCTCCATACTTTAATTTTAATTTAGTTCCTTATACTTCAACCTTAATTTAGTTCTCCAAATTTTAATCTTAAATTGGTTCTCCATACTTTAACCTTCATTCAGTTCCCCATACTTTAACCTTCATTTGGCTCTCCATATCTCCTCTCCCTTCTCCCAGGTGAGTCTCTCCATGCTGCCTGTACCTGTCTGTGCTGTTCCTGCTCCCTCTGGTCGTCAGAAATTCCAGTTTCCCAACTGCACATCCATTCCTAACCAGTACAGCCAGACAGCTCCTGCCCTTCCTGTGCTCTCTGAAATGTAGCAGGTGCTAGACAGACTGAAAATAAAGCAAGTGCATAACTCACCACCTGAATTTGGTGACAAGGTTTAGTCAACTTGAGCATTTGGCTGTTGTGAAATTTAGCTGAGCTCAAAATAAAGTGAGAAAACATAAAGCAAGAAGTGTGTGCAATGCAAGCAACATGCTTAAAACAGGTTTTTTAGCATCTCTATTTGCCATAAAACAAGAAAAAAAAACCACATTTCCAAAATCATATGACTTTCTAACCATGCTCGATGTTAATTATTGACTTGTTTCTGAGAAGAAAATAACAGTGGTGACTAATTTCAGTCAAAATTGGTTTGGTTTGGGATTTTTTTGTTGTTTTTTTTTCTTAGAAAAGACTTCAGCAAAATAAAAGGAAGCTGACATTAGACTCGGGGTATCAACTCTCTCATAAAAGTTTACCAACTGTACAAGGTAAGAAAATTATACAAGCTTTTGTTTTAAGAAAGGACAGTTCAATCAAGACATTTAAGTACTGTAAAAATCTTTCAAAGGCTACAAAGAAATCTGGAAAAATACACAATGTATTTCTTTAGCCCAGATAAAAGAATATGGAAAGACATCATTGATGTCAACAATTTTACATAGACAAACCTGACCTGGTTTAGTTATTTTACCTTTTAAAACTTCTATATATAAAAATAGTTGTGCTCAGAACTTTCAGGATTCATGAGGGTTCCTTAACCATGGGATGACACTTTTCCTCTCAGCAGCACAAGTGGAATTGTCTGTGCCTACTCTGGCTTGGCTTTCTCTGGTTCATTTTAATCTTCTGCATCAGCTGCAAACAGGATGTTTTGCTCACTTATATAAGGTTTAAGTGGTGCATTCTACATTAAATGGAGCATTAATATTCTCCAATGTATCAGGCTGAGAATGTTTTGCAGAAACTTGCTGATTTCTTCCTCGTGTTTGAGGCCTTAGAGCCTCAAATAAGTGCCTAAGAGACTCTTAGAGTTGCCAGCTTTGAGGAATGGAAATATTCTCCTGCACTGAAAATAACCCAGATCATTAGATCTTAAGAGCCAACTAGAAGGTATCAGGATAAAAATAATCTTAGCAGATTATGGAACTGGATTTTGGAAGGTAACCCATCAACCCTGAAAATTTTAGACACCCAAAATTTACTCCAAGGAATAAAATCAGCTCCTAGCACTCAGTCATCCAAGGTTTCTAGTTCCTCAAGCTTCCCATGGGAATTGGCTTCCTGGAAGAACTCGGAAGCACCAGGACTTTCTTTCCCATTGCTGTTAATTCTTCTTCTTTTCAGAGGTCTTTCACTCTTTTCTTCCAAGTCATTGTCATTCCTTGCAGCTGAGTGAGCAAGTTTGGGGTCAATGGAAAGGTTTTCAGGTTCATACCCATTTGTATCCAGATCCACGTGAGGTGTTTTCTTGCCACTGGAAGGTCCATTTACATGTAATCCCTCGAGTTTTGCTTCCTCCTTGCTTGCTGCCTCACCTGGGCCATTGGCAGACACACCTGTGTGCAGAGAGACAGCAGGAGAGAGAGTACAGGAGTGGGAGCAAGAACAGAACAACTGGGACAGCTCATGAAAGCACGAATCTAGCTGAGCTAACAAGCAATATTGTTCTTATCCTCACTGTGTGATGAACTAGTGATTTATGTGCATCAAATGACAGATTTATCATGACAGAAGTTAGGGAAGTCCTTAAAAGCAATAGAAGACGTCCTGGAATCCCAGAATTTACAAGCTGCAGGTGGAATCTCCTCACCTGGGCAGTTCCTGTAGCTCCCACAGTGTGATTGAGTCCCCAAGCTCCTCCAGCACATCTCTCCCTCACTTTTGGGGTTGTCTTCCCTCACAGTCAGTATGCCCTGTCTCCTCTCCCACTCCCAACTCCCTTCCATGGCCCATGGTAGGAAGAATAGCTACTGGTGTCCCTGAGGAGCAGCACAGCCTAGTTCCCACCTCAGATGTTAAATACCCCTCACAGAGTTCCTCACACTGTTACCATTACACTGCTACACCAGCACGGGGAAGGCAAAACACATTAACTACAGTTAGAAGGAAATTCCAGTGGGGATTTATCTTCGATACATGAGCTCTGCCTAAAGGCAAACATGGAGCTTTGTATGAAAAACCAGTTTTAACTTAAAGCTGCTCAGAACCTGGGAAATACCTAAACCCAAAATAGGCTGTTCAGCCTGGAGAAGACAAGCTCCAGGGAGATCTTAGAGCCCCTTCCAGTGCCTAAAGGGGCTACAAGAGAGCTGCAGAGGGACTTGGGACAAGGGCCTGGAGGGACAGGAAAAAGGGGAATGGTTTCACCCTGGAAAAGTGGAGATTTTGGGAAGGAATTCCTGGATGTGAGGGTGGTGAGACACTGGCACGGGTTGCTCAGGGAGGCTGTGGGTGCCCCAACCCTGGCAGTGTTCAAAGCCAGGCTGGGTAAAGGCTTGAGCAATCTGGGCTACTGGAAGGTGCCCCTGCCTGGTGGGGGTGGAACAAGATGAGCTTTAAGGCCATGCCCAACCCAACCCATCCTGGAATTCTGGGATTCCACAAGGCTTTTGGCAGCTGATAGGAGGGAGAGGGCACACACTCACCGTTCTGATTGCTGCTGCTGGTTGTGCTGTCTTCCCTTTCTGACTGGCTGGTGCTGCTGTTGGAGGTGGTGGGAGGAGGGGACGGAGCTCTGCTGGAAGCAGCACTTTCACTTTCATCCAACAGCCGATCCATGTAATCTCTAGAGAACAGACACAGCACAGTCAGCCCTGCCCTTGCTGGGGGAAGTGTTGGTGTGATTGGTACAAAACCACTCACTGCTCATACTACAAGTGTGGCCTATACACATTTTACATGGGAAAGGCTTTAAACTGGCAGAGAGGAGGTTTAGATTGGATATTGGGAAGGAATTCCTGGCTGGGAGGGTGGTGAGACACTGGCACAGGTTGCCCAGAGCAGCTGTGGCTGCTCCATCCCTAGGAGTGTTCCAGTCAACCTGGGCTGGTGGAAGGTGTCCCTGCCCATGGCAGGGGCTGGGACCAGATAGGCTTTAAGGTCATTCCCAACCCAAACCAGTCTGGAATTCTATGATATGAAAACCCCTAACCAAACAACATAAATCCCTAAAAGCCCACAGCCTCAGTGTTTCTGGAGAAGCTGCAGGACCAGTTTGAGTGCCCAACCGGCAAAACCACAGGTTGGGTTTTAATGCAACTCACTCAAGTCCTGTACCAGTCTCCTCAAATGTCTTATCCAGGGAAAGTAGCTGAAGCACAGTATTCCACAGGGGATATTGTTTCTGTGGAGCTTTCAGACATTCCCTATGCATCATGTAGCCGCTTTAAGTTAGTTTTCCAGTGTAGACACTGTATCACCTGAGGACATCTTCAACATTGTAAATCCATGGCAGGGGGTGGAATGAGATGAGCTCTAGGGTCCCTTGCAACCCAAACCATTCCATGATTCCATGTGGTCTATGTTATGGACTGTGATTTCAAAGTGACTCTCGGGCAGGTCTGGACAATTTGCTGCATTAGCAATAACAAACCATTACAGTAAATTACTTTTGTGTACAAAAACAACCCCCAAAGGGGTAAAACTTAAAGCAAATGGAAAACTCTGGAGTTAAAGACATTAAAGACATTCCTATATCTGACATATCCTCCAATCTAGGTCAGTAATAGTAAACCTCCTGTGAAAGACTGAAATGGAGGAAGCAGGTTGGTAAAGCCCTTCTATGTGTGGTGTTTAGTCTAGATTAACTCCAGAAACAGCACATCCTGACACATAATGATGCTGGAATTGACACTGCACCCTAAATTCCCACTTCTATTTGCAAAATAATTCAAGAACAGACAAGTACAAACCCTAATGACACTGCTCCTCATCACCATAGGCAGCCAAACGCAAAAGAATCGGTGTTTGGAGTGATTAACTATACCAAAAATGTATCCTAATTTGGGAGAAAAGGCGGGGGAAAACCCACCAACAGATGGGAGGAGGGGGAGACAGACAGTCCCTGACAAGCAGCTGAGAAACTGCCGCAGCTCTGGTGCTCCTTAGTGACACTCTACAAAGCCACAGATGGCAACTCTGACTGCCACACTGTGTTCACTGCAGTGGTCCAGCACAGCTCTGAAACTCCCCAAGGAACAATAGTATTCCAAAGAAGGACCAACAGAGGAGCCAGGAACAAATGAAGAATAAAAAGAGGAGTCCCTGACAAGCAGCTGAGAAACTGCCGCAGCTCTGGTGCTCCTTAGTGACACTCTACAAAGCCACAGATGGCAACTCTGACTGCCACACTGTGTTCACTGCAGTGGTCCAGCACAGCTCTGAAACTCCCCAAGGAACAATAGTATTCCAAAGAAGGACCAACAGAGGAGCCAGGAACAAATGAAGAATAAAAAGAGGAGAGCCTTGG